GGGGCGGGTTTGCTGGGCATCTGCCGGCGGTGGGGCCGGACGGACGGACGGGCGCGGCAGGAACGCTCCAGCGCTGCTCTCCTGCCTCTCCCGGCGCGGGCGGGTCTCACACGGACCCCGGCACATGCCTCCTGCCCCCTTCCCTAAAAAACCTGCCTGCCCGCGCCCCGGCCGGCTGCAGAGTCTCCATCCCGCGGGGGCTGCTGCATCCCGGGGCTGCCCCCGGGGCGGGCGGGCAGTGATCCGGTGTCTCTTTGGTTCCCCCGGCACAGCATTATCATGACGGCCTCCTCCACGCTGCTGGCCCTCTTCCTCATGCCCCTCTGCCTCTGGATCTACAGCCGCCACTGGATCAACACAGCCCTGGTGCAGCTGCTGCCCCTGGGGGCCGTGAGCCTGACGCTGGGCAGTACCCTGCTGCCCATCGGCCTGGGCGTGCTCATCCGGTACCGGCACCCCCGCGCCGCCGACCTCCTTGTTAAGGTAGGCACAGCCCGGGGGGGAGGCACTGGGATGCCCGGGGATGGCACTGGGGCGGGGGGGGGCGACAGCAGTAAACGTTCTGGTCCCCCCAAACCAACCGTAGCTTCACACTGGCATATTCCACTACTTTAGGTGGAATATAAGGACTTTCAGTCTTGAAATAAAACAGTCAGACAGAGTCAGAAAGCGATGGAAAGGGCCGGTTACCCCCCGGCGCACGGGAAGGAGGGTAGTGTGGCACTGCACCCTGGGAAGCTCCCCGGGGCCCTCCAGCGTTCCCTGGCATCCTCTCCCCCGGAGCTCTCTACCTGCTCCTGCTGCACCCAGGGCTGGCATAACCAAGCGACGGGTACGGAAATGCTTCCTTAAAACATGCCTGTTAGCTTAATTACAAAAGGAAAAGTGAAGCACAAGCCCTGGCGCTCTAATTTCCCAGCAAGTCACCCCAAAGCAAAATGATGGAGGGCTATCTCAGCCCCTTCCTTTCCCAAGATATGGTCAAGCACCACCAAAGTCTTGAGCCAGAAGCAAACCTGGGAAAGCCAGTGCAACCGTGTTTTGCAGTTTAGCCTCACTATTGAGCCTCTACCTGCTGTGCTTATCCTTTTAAACTAATAATCCCTGTGTTGTTTATCAATGTCTGTTGCCAGATTTCCCTGTGGTCCCTCTTGGTGACTCTGGTGATCCTGTTCATCCTGACTGGGACCATGCTGGGCCCAGATCTGATGGCACACATTCCTGCGTCTGTCTATGCCATTGCGGTGCTGATGCCTCTAGCAGGGTACGCCTTGGGATACGGCTTAGCCACGCTCTTTAAAATGCCCCCACACTGCAGGAGAACAGTGTCTTTGGAAACAGGGTGCCAAAACGTCCAGCTCTGCACTGCCATCCTAAAACTCACTTTCCCCCCAGAGCTCATAGGGAGCATGTACATGTTTCCCTTGCTTTATGCGCTCTTTCAGTCAGCAGAAGCAGGACTCTTTGTGCTGGTATACAAGATGTATGGGAGAGACAGCTACAAACAAGATATGCTCGGTGAAGAGGAAGACACAGATATTTCCTACAGGAAACTGAAAGAAGAGGAGGTGGCTGATACTTCGTATGGCACAGTGACCACAGAAGAGCACAACTCTGTTCAGGTGGAGGTGACGCAGACAGCGCTTTAGGCGAGATAAGGTGGTGACACCCGGGGACGGACGTGTGATGTGTGCTGTGCTTGCAGCCAGGCCTCTGCACAAGCAGAGCTGCCCGGCCTCCATCATTTCTCCAGCTGCTCCCATTGTACAAGGTGATGTGTGCTTATTACTGTGACAGTTGTATTTCCTCAAAAATAAGTATGAAAAAAAAAAAAACAGCAAAGGAAAAAGCATCACTGCGACGCAAACCAGTAACTGTACATCTTCACACCAAGAGGCTCCTGCCTGCCTGAGTGCTGCAGGACTGGGTAGGATAAAGGAGACGAGTGTTTTGCTGAGGTGAAGCCAACGCGTTGCCAGTGTGGACGAACAGGCAAACCAAACTGTCTTGTGCGTGTGTATTTCCATGCCTCCCACCCGCTGTAAAAGCTTTGTGCTCGTTGTTCTCACCGCAAATACATGGCGAAGCCGAACCAAACCCATGTTCCCCACTGATTAATCCCGCGGGGGCAACTGGGGCGCTGCCTGCTTCACCGGGGGAGCTGTGCTGGGGGGTGGGGGGCGTCGGGCCCGAGGGATGGGAAGGGGCCGCCACGGCCG